AAATTCATATCACATATGTTACTGATGCCATTTGTCATACTTTATTAAATTCACAAATAATAAAGTTCCATAACTTCAGTTGGGAACAAAGACCACACCTTATCTCCCCAAGGCAATTTCCCATCCAATAGGTGTGCTATACACGTGTATAACCCTTTCTCCTGTCTGTTTCTCCCTCTTTCAGCACAAGAACCAGAGGGGGATTCAATGGAGCCTGAATACCTGCACTGAGACCCTCACCCTGCACCCTGAGTCTCAACTCTGTGTTTTTCAAGCCTTTCCCTGTTTTTTTGTATTAAACAAAACATTAAGCTTTCCCAATGGTGTGGTTTTCGTTTTGTGAAAAAGTGCAAATGCAGTGTTTGTATATAATTACCTCACATATTTGTTTGCTGTTGGTCGTGAAATTGCTCCTGCTGACTTGAGCCAGCCATTTTTTCCTCCGCTCTGTGTCAGTGGGGAAGCTGTACATTCGTACTCCTTTCTCGGAGCGATTGGAGCATCCCCAGGCAGCACAGCAAACCATGGTGGCGACTAGGAGGCAGCACAGCAAACCATGGTGGCGACTAGGAGTCAGCACAGCACACCAGGACAACACGGAGGAAAAGGCACAGACAAACTGCATGATATGCTATTCAATGTTTATTGAATTCCATGTATTTGCAATGGATGTTCCTAAAACAACACATTTAACATCATCATCATCATGCTGCTGCTGCTAGTCCTTTGATAGTCACCTGTCGGTCTCCTGTCCTTTCTGAAAGCCATAAAGATGACATTAGTCATTTAGATTGTGTCCTCAATTACCATGGTTACTGAAACTACCATGACTTTAAGAAAATGGTAGACATTAATCTAATCTGAATTTTAAAGCATTACTTTAGATCCCCTCCCTCTAAATATATCAATACACATTAGAAAGTGATGCTCCTGACTACCATACAAGTTTAAGAAGATAATATTGGTTTTAAAGAATTCAAAGCTATAAATAAACAGCAACAGGCTCTTTAACCAAGGCACTGCTAGCCTACCATGTAAACTAGTTGTTCACACTAATCCTAATATTATCACTTAATATTAGCAAATTCTATTTTATTTTTTAAAACATATTGATGTAAATACATACACATATCGATTTGTTGTATAAATATTGCAAATCAAAACCTTTATTCACTAATAATTACCAACAATCGTAGTTCTATCTCCTGTTATCAATGCATTCACATTGCCCGCCATGAACTTCCGGGGAACGATCCTCTTCTACATGAACCACGTGACGATAACCGTTTTTGGACTTCCGTTGTCGTAACTCTTCTATTCTTTCACACACACATACGGGTTTTGGGCCGAGGGCGACACCGTACTTCCGGTATCAACCATTTCACACGAGGTGCATACAGAATATCATAGTCGATTGCCTTAATCAATATAGTCAACTCTAAAATACCACATATATGCATTGGCATGATAATATTATTGTGACAAGTGGGGTATTCACCTGGTGTTCCCAGAAGATAGACGTAGATGCTGCCAAAATCGACCGAAGGCCACTTTTGAGGGTCGTAATTCCATACATTGTACATCCAACAACCCACACAGCTCTAGTTTACGCTGGTAACGACCTAGAGCACACCCCTCAAGTCCAGAGATGTAATCCGAAGACATGCAGCGATTTCTTCGGTCGTTAATTCAGAAAAAAAAACTAGTGCGCTCTGCTTGGCAACATAAGCTAGCTGTTTATATTAGCATTCCCAGGATTTTTGCACCTCCAGAAAAATGGCGTCTTTATAAAAAAATATATGGCGCGCGTTGCATTGTGGGTAGCTGTGACGTCACTGTGTGTGAAAGAATTATACGGCTCTGACCCGCTCTATCGAAATCAGTCGGAAGTCGCAACGGCTCATTTCAGAATAAACGTGGATTTACGTAAAAAACTATTTTTTCAGGGTTCGGGTGTTTTGTTTGATTTTAAACAAACAACGTCTTGGCTTTCAGAATATGAAACTTTTATTTCCAAAATCACACGATAAATACATGTTTGAAGCTTGTGAAGGGATGAAGACAGGCACCTCTCACTCGCAATCTGCTCTTCCAGCAGCGTCGCCACCCTCCCTCCGCTGAAACTATGAATGTAAGAGTATAGTAATCATAGATAACACGGCAGGGTCCGTTACAGTTTGTTTTCATCTGATTTTAATTAAACAAAGTCTTGGCTTTCAGAATATTAAACTTGTTTCGGAAAATTCAGATGATAAATACAAGTTTGAAGCTTGTAACGGCATAATTACAAGCGGAGAACGGAGTAACTTAACGTCACAGCAGGCATAACAACAGCCGGTGTTTCTCGTGAGTGTTTTACCCCGGAAAACAAACACAATACACACAAACGCAAAATTACACAAACACACACACACACGTATACACACACACTCGCGAGCTTCCCCTCCAAACGAAAATATCTTCCCTCCGTAGTATTTTGATCATTTGCTCCACTAATAACCAATCAGATCGATGGGTTCCAGAGAAGAGGAAACTTTTAAGGCCTTTTTCTCAAAATGAGGACTCGGTGATAGTCATTATATAATGTGACATATTTCGCTTAATATTTGGAGTACAAAAACAATCCTGATATCATTAGAAAGCTAGGAATCTCCTCTTTCCAACAGTGTATACAACTCAAAATGTGTCTTCGGGTCAATGCGACTGATTTCGATGGAGCAGGTCACAAATACAGTCAATCTAAACTTAAATGTAACAACTGGAAGGTCACATCCCTGACATCCACATCTCCGGAGCCTGGACCTTCATCAATCATAGAAACAGCGAAGCCAGATGAACCCAAAAGCAGCACCTCTGCGGCCGCAGAAACTGTCAAAACCGCCGCCGCCGTCGTTGAACCGAAACAGGCTGGTTCCGACTGCATGGAGGTTTGTTGTTGGGACATTGAGTCGGGTAAAGCTGTACAGCTAACTATCGGAAAAAAGGTGACCGCTAGTAGATTATTTGAGCAAAGAGAAAGGTAGCCTACTTCAACGCAGAATGGTACAAAAACAGAGAGTGGTTAATTCTTTGCAAAACCACTAAACGATAGTGATAAATTGCGATGTTAACAACCTCATGATAACCTCATATTTTTTTAACTTAGGATTATACCTGTGTTTAGTCTAGAAAATGGTAAATGTGTGCATTTTATTATAAAGTTGTGTATATTTACAGACTATTGCAAAAACTAAGAAGCTTATAAACATCAGGTTTAAAACTAAAAGAGCTTTACAAAAAAGTAACCAAAGATGTTTGGAGTTTTATTTGAGTTATTCATTTACATTTTTTGTCTAAGAGATGCTGATTTGAAACCGTTGTTAGGCCTACATACAGTTACGCATTTCCTGTTTCTGCCAGAGAGAGGGGAGTTTGTCTCAAAGCTTGCTGCTGTATTTACTCCCTCCATCTGACAGGAGGGAGCCTCATGTGTCACTCCACGGAGTTCACTCCGTCACGGAGGGTGTGTGTGTAGGTGTAGGGCGTGGTTTGGGATTGGGCCATACACACGCACTTTTTTTGCCCCCCCCACTTCTAAAATGAATCCGGCGCGCCTGCTGGTGGTAGGCATTGAACATTGTGGCGCATCCGGAATATGTACGCAAATATGAAAACACATATGTTTCTGTGCACATGGTTCTTTAAGTCACAAAGTTGACGGTGGAACACATTTTTTGCGGAACCTTTACAATGGTAATTAATCTTGATAGATGTATCTTTATAGCATTAAAGGACCTAAATGTGCAGAAGCACTCACCATGAACACAATGGTGATGTTCTTGTGTACCCTCCATCTTTCAATCTGTAATGTCTCAGTAGTTCCCCCCTCTTTTCACAAGTGAAGTCCACAGCAAAAATGCCTTAAAATAAATTAACAAATAATATCTAACTAACTAACTAACTAACTAACTAACTAACTAACTATATAACTAACTGTTATTCATGTTTGATCAGCATTGCATATTTTTTGATCCACGTTTCGAAAGATTCCGCTTGGAGTTAGACACAAAATGGCGTCCGTCTGTTATAAAAACGATCTCAGATTACAGCTAAATAGTCCGCTAAAATACGTTTCAAAAAACTTTTGAGGCAAGAAATAAACCCTATAACATAATCTTGATTTGTGTTTGATCAAGACTGCATATTTTACCTGTTAAAATAAGTTTTGTTCAGCCTTGGTTGAGAAAAGGGACACACCACTTGATGGCTGTATATGTTCAGAATCTTGAAAAGGAATCATTTGTTTGTTTAGTAAATTCGTAATTCTCTTCCACAATGCATCTCTTATTTTTTGCAACATGATTTTTGTTCGATTCTGTAATAATTCATCTTTTTAATTCCTCATCTGCATTTAGAAATGATTATTATTCATATTATTATATAACATATATTTTAATCATTGTCTTTCATACGTTTTTTTTGTAATGTATTATATATTTTTGCGTGTATTCATAATTGGAGCAATGATCACAAAACCACAGTTTCTCCTAGAAAACTTATTTATTTTTATTTTAATAGATTTGCTTTTATTATTTTTTCCAGTTTTGATTTCCTCAATTTTTTGCAGTAGTTTCACCACTTGATGGCACTGCCTGTTTTCTCTCTGTATTTCAATAAAGTGTATTGAAAAATAACATAGTGGCCAACTGCGGTACTACAACTTCCGTGTCAGTCCGTGACGTTACTGAGTCCAAAAAAACGTTTTCCCATTGACTTACATGGGGAAAGAAACGTCTGTAAATCAGCGGATAATTATTTGAAAACTAAATAAACTACCCAGTGTTAACTCTTGTATATCCTTTATTTTAATCATTAGGTTTTAAAAGTTATAAAATTATCTAAAAGCTGAATCCAGATGTATTTGATCTCTCCATTCATCTGACTGACAGAGAGCGGGAGATGGGAGGCGGGGCTTAAGGGAAAACTCTACCGCGCATGCTCTGTGGGCCCACATCCGGGTACTTCTGCTCTCGACCATGCTCTCAGGCAGGATCCACTTCTTGTGGAACTTCCATCAGTCAGAGTCTCTATCAGCTCTCATTAATATTAGAATATAACCCGTTTCTCTCAGGAGAAGAATAGACGAGAGGAGCTTTAGAACAATCCCACCTCTTCATCCGGGTCCTTATCTGCTGTTAGCTGCTTCATGCTAGGTGGCTAATGCTAGTCGGTGCTAGTCAACAAACTGAAGAATAAAGAGGAGCAGGAACACCGGGTAATACTGAGTACTTTTCCTATAATACTGTGTACTTTAAAAACTGATAATACTGAGTGCTTTTACTATAATACTGTGTACTTTAAAAACTGATAATACTGAGTGCTTTTACTATAACACGACGTAGGCCTACTTTTGCTACTGATAATACTTAGCACTTTTATTAAAATACTTTACTGACTACTTTTACCGCGGATATTTCAGCATGAGGCAAAAAATGAGGCTGTACCTTTGCTGGTACTATAGTATATGAAGGTTTGTCTTATATATCGTGCACTGAGAGGGGTTTAGTAAAACAAAATGTAAACAAGATTTCACCGCCATGTACTTTGAGATAAATGCTGTATTTCAGTGGTGGAAGAAGTACTCAGATCTGGTCAGTGAATAAAAGTAGCATCAAAATATAGGTAAAGTAGCGACAGTGAAAGTAGTCGTTGTGCAGATTGGTCCATTTCAGAATAATATATATGATATGTTTTATAATGATTGATCATGAAAGTGTTCTCAAAGCTGGTGAAGGTGCAGCTAGTCTGAAGTACTTTGTATACTGCAGGGTAGCTGGTGGATTTACTCCAGGTGGAACTAAAGTCTGATTCAACACTTGATTAGATTTCACATCATTCATCCACATCTGTGAAGTAACTAAAGGTATTAAATACATGTAGTGGAGTAGAAGTACACCATTCACCTCTGAACTGTAGAGGCGTAGCATACAATGTAAATACTCAAGTAAAGTACAAGTACCTCTATAGTTGTACTTAGGTACAGTACTTGAGTAAATGTGCTTACCACCTCTGCTATTAAGCTACTTCTTAGCTGTAGATTGGTTTTGTGTTGACTGTAGTGTTAATACTTATTTCAGAGACCCAGCAGGAGAAGGAGCACTGAGAGCAGCATGGAGGAGAAACAACGAGACCCCCAGAACTCAGGTCAGTGTTCACTTCATCACAATATACTGTCCCCTCCAAAACTATTGGAACAGGGGTCAGACAATAGGTCAGTATTTTAGCTTTTCGTTCCAGGTATTTACATCAAGATCTGTTAAACACCTAAGAAGATAGCACCTTTTGTTTACACCCACCCATTATTCAAGTGAGCAAACGTATAGGAGCAGAGACTTAAAACAATGTGAAAAGTGAATAATACTTAGTATTTAGTTGCAAATCCTTTGCTTGCAGTAACTGCATCAAGCCTGCGACCCATTGACATCACCAAACTTTAGTATTCTTCTTTCGTGGTGCTTTTCCAGGCTTTCACGCAGCCTCTTTCAGTTGTTGTTTGTTTCGGGGGTTCAGCAGGTATAATGCACGCTCAGCAGGGTTGTAGTCTGCAGATTGACTTCAGGTCTGAAACCTCCCACTTCTTTCCCCTGATGAACTCCTTGGATGTGTTGGCAGTGTGTTTTGGGTCGTTGTCTTGCTGCATGATGAAGGATCTCCCGATCAGTTGCATCCTTCTTTAAATTGGTAGACAAAATGTTTCTGTAGACTTCTGAGTTCATTTAGCTTTTGCCATCATATGTTTCATCATCAATGAAGATCAATGAGCCGTCCAGAAGAAGCCATGCAAGCCCAAGCCATGACATCACCTCCATGTTTGAGATGAGATGTGTGTTTGGGATCATGAGCAGATCCTTTCTTTCTCCACACGTTAGCCTTTCCATCACTTTGGTAAAGGTTCATCTTTGTCTCATCAGTCCATAAAACTTTGTCCCAGAACTTTTGATCCTCGTCTCTGTACTTTTTGTCAGATTCCAATCTGGCCTTCCTATTCTTAAAGCTAATGAGTGGTTTGCATCTTCTGGTGTAGCCTCTGTACTTTTGTTCCCAACGTCTTCTGCTAACGGTGGATTGTGAGACCTTCACTCCTGCCCTCTGGAGGTTGTTGGTGATGTTCCTTTACAGTTCTCACAATGTTTCTGTCATCAACTGCTGATGTTTTCCTCTGTCGAGCAGTTTGAAGTGTGATGCTCAGAACACCAGTGCTGTCTTTTTTCTTAACACTAGAACCACCAGAGGTCGCTGTATACCTAAAACCGCCAACGGGTAAAATGTACCCGCTATTGATTTTCAAGGTAGGCTACAATGTTCTTTTATTTATCATACAGAGCAGTGAGTGTTGATCGCACAGGGATGAAACTTATACCAATAGAATCTGTGGACTCTCAGCTTTTCATATCATATAGTTTGTGCAGATAGCATGAAGTATAAAATATCGCTAAGAGTGCTGATTTAAACGCTTGGTGTTAGACTTGTGTTTTGTTTCGGTACAAATCTCTCTCTCTCTCTATCTATCAATCTATCTGTAATTTTCTGTTCTATGGACATAATTGTCTACATAAACAGATGACGCAGACTACTTCTCTCATTGCGAGTGTCCATCTTCATTCAACTGGCACGTAACCGGCACACATGCATTACGTCCTCAACGTGAGCTTAGTCATCCAAGATCTTGTATTCTCCAAGATGTTACACTATCAATCTATCTCTCTATCTATAAGGAACCGCAGTAGACAAAAGGCGTTGCTATAGCAACAAGTCATGTTTACGCTGCATTTTCTATGAGGTAAATATTACCCGCTGGCGGATATGGGTATAAAAGGCATTTTTTTGGCGATTTTTTTCAATCTGACTTCATATTGACAATTGTTAACAACAGAGGGTGCTCCATAACACACTTTCAACTGGGAGACTTTAATATGTTATTGAAAAAAAGTTACATAAAATCAAAAAACAGCTGCGGGTAAAATTTACCCGTTGGCGGTTCTAGTGTTAAGGGCGTTCTAAATGGTTTTACTGGCTATGGCCAATGTTTGTGCAATGGCTCTGATGGATTTTCCATGGGGGGGGGAACTGTATTTCACATCATCAATCCAGATCAGTAAAGTAACTAACGGTATTAAATACATGTAGTGAAGTGAAAGTACACCATTTACCTCTGAACTGTAGTGGAGTAGAAGTAGCATACAATAGGCGCGTTCACACAGTTATTTTCCCACAATAGTTCATGAGAACTCTTTTAGTTCTGATGAACTAAGTACAGATCGCGTTCCCACCGAAATGAGTTCCTGGGGGAGGATTAGGCAAATGAAGCCGCTGACGTCACTTCTTCTTCTGCGTTGGGTTTACTGGCAGGCGTCTGTTTACCTTCCGACCTCAGACATGAGCTTCGTCTGAGTTATTTAAGCAAACACAAATACAGATCGTCGACCAGTCAAATGCAATAGCAATGCTGATTTGGAAGCGAAGGCGGTTAAGAAGGATTGACAAAAGGATTGCACGCGCCATGGATTGCGTAACCTGTGTGAAATGAATAAACTCTGCCAGGTGTGTCGTATGCACAGTAAATAGGCTCAGCAGTTAACACACCTTTATGATATATCCCCCTGAGAGCAACTGCATCCGTCTACCATGAACCCTACAGAAACCTACGTGTTAGTTTTGGCCCATAGTGCCCTCCATTTGTGTCGTGTAAAATGGGGGAAATAAAAAGTTAGCAAATCCCCATGTCCTCCTCAGAGCCAGAGGACATTCATAAAAACATTTAGTTTTAGGTCAAATAATTATTACACTGCTCTGAAACTCACTACACTAACTCCTAAGATGTTCCCTTACTATAATTAATTAAAATATGGAACTCACAACACTGGTAATTACAAACTTAACCATTTCTCTTTCTATAAATAGTGCTAGTGTTGATTGACGCCATTTTGAAATACAATGAAATTATCTTTTTCAAAGCCACACATTTGGGGTGGGACACAATAAATAAAGGTTCGCCAGTTTATAACCGATGAAACATGATGGTATCAGAATAATGACTTACATGTGATGTATAGGATGCTACACAGGTCACTGTAAAGATAAAGTGTCAGAGGAGAAATAAGCAAGATACAGGATCTGTTTAATCGCCATGTAGGTTCTCTTTTATTGCACACTCAAGACAATATTAATAACGGCATCACGCTGTCCCAGGTGTGTCGTATGCATGTAAATACAAGTTAAAAGTTTTAATGTAAATAGAAGTTAACATTTTCAATATAAAAGAAAGTGTCGGTAGTATCAAAACAATATAAGAGTGGCAATATATATAATAACAATAATAGGTAGGCTCAGCAGCAGACACACCTTAGTGCAAAGTGAAGTGTCAGTATTAATAACAGTGGCATATATATAATCACAATAATACAAAATTAACTGTCCCAGGTGTAGGTAATTTGGGGTGAAGTGTCTTGCCCAGGGACACAACGACATGCTGACTGCAGTGGGGTTTGAACCTGTTCTCCCCTGATCCGAACACCAACGGTGCCTTAATTGAAGGCATGTTGGATTTAATCAGCTCGCTTAGCATTCCCAGATGCTCCACCTGGCGTGCCGACACCTCCACCTGGCGCGAGTCAGCATGGCGCGTCATCACCATGAGCAGCTGGTCGTCCGATTCCTGGCCCTTGTGTGAATGCAGCAGCCGTTCGTCGTGCATCTCCTTGGCACGCAGGTCCTCATTCTCCTTGCTGACTATGGCACGGCGGTCCTCCATCGCCATGATGGTGTCAAGGAAGCTGTCATCCCGTGCCCGCTTTCCTAAGAGGAGAAATAAGCAAGATACAAGATCAGTTTAATCGCCGAGTAGGTTGTCAACAGAGACAACATTGGACATGATGCAGGCAGGGACAGTGTACAAAATGCAGGTGTAATGTAGAAGATAAGATAGGATCAAATAGCTGACGCTCAAAGTGCCCTTATTGTTTTGTGCTTAATGTATGCTTGAACTTTGTTTTATAGGGATTAGTGGACATCAGTTCGATGTGTAACCTTATTTCAAGGCCAGAGTAGTTACAGTGTAAGTGGATTGGCATCTAACATAACATGGCTGAGTAAAATTATAACCATCAATAAAAAAAAAGGAAAAATAAATAGAATTTCAATTACATTTTTACTTAAATGTGCAAAATATTAGAACATCAGTCTTTGTGACATGCAAATAATCAACTGTTTAAGCTTTTACCATTAACATGTAGAATGAATGTTGCAAATGACAGATGAAATGTTAGCAACTACAATGTAAGTTATTGTTTACCTCTATTCATTCAGTATAGCCACAGAGGTAGCATTATGTCCAGCTATTATGCTAATTGCTAACGTTATATCTCATTTTATCCCAGAGGGGAAAGCTCACTAGTTTCCAATCCAGAGAGAAACACCTCGCCTGAAACACACGATTAGTGCCATCAGCTAGTGAAGCAAATTACAGAATATTGCACACTTATTCACAAGTCAAAACGTTTTCATAGCGGCCGAGAATAGCTAGATAGCTAGATGTTGTTAGCCAGCTTGGAGCCGGGCTGCTAACAGTGTTAGCCAGTTCAGCTAGCATGGCTAGCTCGATCTACTGAGCAAGTAAAAGTACATCTGAGACCAGTATTGTGCAGATTAAAACAGTGCAGTGCATGTAGTTTATTTTACCTTTGTCGTCGTCCCGGTATGACTTTGTGCTGTGGACGGTTCCCAGGTCGGCTAACTTTGCTGAACAACGCCCCTACATTTTGCAGTTGGAAACTGCCTTCAGTAGAAGCTTCTGGATCGCGTCCTCCGAGTAAATTGCCAGAGGCGCTACACATCCTCATCACTCCACCACTCCGAAGATTTCATTAGTGTTAATAATAATAATAATAATAATAAATGTAATTTATATAGCGCTTCTCATCTGCCAAGACAAATCTCGAAGTGCTTCACAACAAAGGACACTGACACAATTTGAGAGTAATAATAATAAAAAATGTATAAAATAAAAATAAATGAAATAAAAGTCGGAGATAGCGATAAAGATTGCAGTACTCCAGGTGTACCGTGCTCAAAGTTTATTGGAAGGCCTGCCGAAAGAAGAGGGTCTTAAGGCCGGTTTTGAAGACCTTGTGGAAGGGGCAGATCTC